GAGATGATGTAGCGACCAAGAATATTAAATTATATAAAATTATTTTCTCGAAAAACGTGTCGCTAAATTTTAAACCCTAACGTTAAAGTGAAAGCGTGTTCGTCTAACCGTTATAAAACAAATTTAAATCTATTTCAAATCGAGCCCAATCCCAAAAAGTTTTAAAGTATCCAATCCCTTATCACTTTTAAGTCCAATTACTTATTAGCCCAAGTATTAATTAATTAGGCCCAAATTTAAAATCCATGCAGCCCAACTATTTGGCCCAATTGGCTACCTAGGGATTTGTGCACTAAATTTCACTATTTTATTGATCCCATTTTCCCCAACTCCTCACATTTACAGCAACCATTCTTGGTAAAGAAAGAAAATTCTTTTCACTCTCATTTTGGAAAGTCATGGTTGATGTTAGAACATCAATTTCTAGCATCAACATGAAACTTGTCAACAACACCCCAAATCAAAGCTTAATCCACCATCAATTTCCAACCCATACAAACCGCAAACCACCATTACCGACTGCCAATCCCAGCAGAACATCCACCACCTGAAGCAACCCCACAGTCCACCTAAACAACCACCACACAAGCTCCAGGACCCAAGCTTCGAACCAAGCAGCAGCCAAGCACGTTAGAGAAATTGTTCGACTTCATGGAGTACCAGCTTCCACTGTCTCAGATAGAGATCCGAGGTTCACTTCGAGATTTTGGAAGAGTTTACATGTAGCAATGGGTACTAAATTAAATTTTAGTATATCTTACCATCTCCAGACAGATGGACAGTCTGAAAGCACTATTCAGACACTGGAAGATATGCTTGAGCTTGTATACTAGACTTGCGTGGTAGTTGGGAGCCTCATCTTCCATTAGTAGAGTTTGCCTACAATAACAGCTTCTAGGCTACTATTGGTATGGCACCATATGAGGCATTATATGGACAACGTTGTCGATCACCAGTCTATTGGGATGAAGTAGGCGAGAGAAGAATTTTAGGTCCAGAATTGATTGAGAGGACAGTTGAGGCTATTGAAAAGATCAGATTACGAATCAAAGCCGCCCAAGATAGACAGAAAAGCTATGCCGATCAAAGGAGAAAAGGATTAGAGTTTGAAATTGGAGAGAAAGTATTTTTGAAAGTAGCTCCTATGAAAGGAACTATCCGTTTCGACAAAAGAGGGAAGCTAAGACCTCGTTTTATCTGACCATTCGAGATCTTAGAGAAAGTAGGTAACGTGGCTTATCATTTGACGTTACCACCCGAGCTCTCGGCAGTATACAATGTTTTTCACGTTTCTTTATTAAGGAAATATATCCACGACCCGAGTCATGTGGTAAATTTTCAGACTATTTCGATTTAGAAGAATCTGTCTTATGATGAGACGCTTATGTGCATTATAGAGAGAAAAGTCCATGTCTTAAGAAACAAAGAGGTTCCTTTAGTCAAAATCCAATGGGGGAGACAAGGTAGTGATGAAGCCACCTGAGAAAGAGAGGACAAGATTCTGGCTAAGTATCCAGATATTCTAGATTAAGTAAGTTTAAATTTCGAGGACGAAATTACCTTAAGGGGGTAAAGTTGTAGCGACCAAGAATATTAAATTATATAAAATTATTTTCTCAAAAAACGTGTCACTAAATTTTAAACCCTAACGTTAAAGTGAAAGCGTGTTC